TGAAAAAATGCATGTTATCCAGATCAAGAAAAATGGATGGACTGTTTATTAAAGTAGTCTATTGGTATGTGTATATACACATATACACAAATATGTATGTACATATATAATTACTATTTGTATATTATAATATCATACATATATATTATACTATCATTTTCCTCGAAAGATTACATAGTTCCAGGTCAAGATGTCACAGTCTGTGATGAATACAAATCATAATAAGATCATTTGTTTTAGAAGTAGAAGGGGTATTAGAAATTACTTGATCTGATACATTTTTATTGTCTGTCTACACTCCTTTACTTGGCCACCTAATCATTTCCTATGGGCAAAATTATCATCTCCAGGCAATTGACACCTAGCCTCTAGTCTCCCTCTTGAGTTATAGTCCCATACTACAAACTTCTTATTGGTTATTTAGAACTGGATGTTCTATAGTCATCTCTAACTCAACATGTCCCAAACAGAGATTATTCTTCTTCCCCCTAAACCAACCCTACTCCCAAACATCTCTACTTCTGTCATTCTTCCAGCCATCTAGGTATCTTTTTTTGGTGTTATCCTCGACTCCTAAATCATACTCACTCTCTACATTTAGTTACTACAACTTGTGATTTCTACCTCCATCCACAACATCTCTTACATAAATCTCCTTCTTTCTCCTCACTATTACACTAGCTCCCTTATTACTTCTTTTTTTTGTTTGTTTGTTTGTTTTTGGTTTTTTTGGGCTAGGCAATGGGGTTAAGTGACTTGCCCAGGGTCACACAGCTAGTAAGTGTTATGTGTCTGAGTTCACATTTGAACTCGGGTCCTTCTGAATTCAGGGCCGGTGCTCTATCCACTGCGCCACCTAGCTGCCCCTTCCCTTATTACTTCTTGCCTAGACTATGGACATAGCTTTCTAATTGTTCTCTCTACTTAAAATTTATTCTCCCTCCAATCCATTCTCCACATAGCCACCAAAGGTATTGTCCTAAAACACACCTTTGACCATGTCTTCCCCTCTACTCTATAAACTCAAGTGGCCTATTACCTTTGAATGAACTATAAATTCCTCTATGTGACATGTAAAGCTCTCAACAGCCTGCCTTCTTCCTAACTTTCTTGACCTGTCGTACGTTATTCCTCGTCAGCTATTTTATGATCTTGCAAAAATGACCTTTTTGCTGTTTATCATGGCTAACACTCCACCTCCCATCTGTATGTATTTTGCACTGTGTGTGTAATGGACTCTCTCCCTACCTCTGCGTCTCGGAATCCTTGCTTTTCTTCAAGGCTCAGATCAATATCACTTTCCATATGAGGCCTTTCTTGGTTCCCCCAGTGGCTAGTACTCCTCTTGGCTATCTTGGACTTGTTTTGTCTATACCTAAATATACACACACATTATTTTCTCCTTTAGGATATATCATGCTCCTTAAGGCAGGGACTGTTTTACTTTTTGCATTTGTTACCCTAGTAACTACCATAAATGATAAACAAAAAATGCTACTAGGTAGACACATAGTAGCTGCTAAATGAAGACTTGTTTGTATATGTGGAAACTGAGGCAGTGACTTTATTAAGTTCATACAAGTATTAAGAATCTTGGTCCTTTGAGTATATAGTCTTTTTTTCCTCTCTACCACACTTGACTCCCTTATAGGTATTCTAAAGAGCAATGAAAAGGCAAATGTGTATTTAAGTCAACTATAAAACATTACCAAGGATGACTTTTGTGCACAAGTGGCATAAAAGATATATTTCTAACACCTAAAAAAGTAGAGGAGTTTTCTATTTAGTTGGAGTGAGGGATATCAGATGGACAACCTCAATGTTATAAGGGTATCTAAGAAATATTAAAAGAACTTGAGGAAGAACTTATGTAAAGATACTAACAAGGAATATGTGTATGTGGAGGAGTGGAAGAGGTACCCATACCGATGAAATTTTATCTATTTTAAGTAATTAAAAGGGGTATTCCCAATATACAGTGCAACATTTTCTATTCACTAAGAGCCTTATAAATGTTCTTGATAAAAATATTTAAAAATATGTATTTATGTAATACAATTCTATGTGCTTAATTTTTAATTAAAAATCAGTCTTAACCTTTTACCTTTCTATATCTTAAAATACAAGAAATGGGGGTGAGGGGGAACCCTTCACAACTAAGCCAAATTGCTGTGCATTTCCTTGTTTCCCTTGAATGATTTTAAAATTCTCCCATGGGTCAGTTGGCTTCAGTAGGATAATGTATTCCCCATCCCTAAAACAAAAACATTCAACCATGTGAAAAACCCATGAATTCCCAAGTACCTATTTCTCAGACCTACACAGCATAACATCCAATGCTCGTGAGTCATCTTAAAGACAAAAGGTTACTTTTCCATCAACATCATGGGTTTGCTTTTCAATAGACTTAACAATATAAGGTCTCTTTGTATTCTCATGTAAAAGCCCCCATTCTATAATGAATCACTACACAGGGAATGTTCCCAAGGCATGTTAATAGTATTTAATTATGTCAGATATCAATCAATTTCTGTTCTCTGCAAAATGCCACTAGGAAGAATTACATTTATCATCTTGAATAATGTCTAACATTAACTAATAATCACCTCCATTTATTTTCCCAGAAACAGTGAAATTAACAAAAGCTAGACTGTAAGAGTGCTACTGTTATTGTTCAGTAGTCTTTCAGTCATGTCTGACTCTTCATGACCCCATTTGGGGTTTTCTTGGAAAAGACAGTGGAGTAATTTGCATTTCCTTCTCTAGATCATTTTATAGATGAGGAAACTGAGGCAAATAGGGTTAAGCAACTTGCCCAGGGTCACACAGCTAGTAAGTGTTTGAGGCCAGATTTGAACTCAGTAAAATGAATCTTCCTGACTCCCAACTGTGAGAATAAGACAGTTTAAATAAGGAACCTAGACAACTTACAAATTTGATATTGAATCTATGAATATTACATATTTAAGTGTCAAAAATCTAGCCAAAACCAAATTTCTACTGTCATTGCTTATCACCTTTTAAAAATGCCTTAATTTTACATTTTAGTAAAAAAAATATTATGTGGATATCCCTTATTATGTAATAAAGGTTAATTTCATGCTTAGCTCATATATTAGTTCAAGACGAAAAATATTCTCAACTAAAAATGTTTCATAAACTTACGTTTCATTCTTTTAAGAAGCAAATATCTACAATGTCTTAATTTTGTATTTTTATGGAATCATATTCAACAATAAAAGTAACAAAGCCCAATAACATCTATTAGTAAAACACAGTATTTCCCTTTCACCACTATTATCTGATTCTGTCAGATGTTTAATAAACAGTAGAAATCGTAATTCATAATCAATTATAACACCAGGAAAGCAGCCACTGAATAAACTATGTTGTTAATTTTCCATTAAAGACTCATGTTTGAATGACCATGTACTTCATAGACTTTAAATATTGAAGTATTTATTACTTAAAATGCCTCTAATCCATATATCACTGAGGGCTAACCACAGCAATGGTAAATAACACGAAAATATTTTAAGTAAAAAACGTGGAAAAACGAAGTCAATAACCAAATGACCTGTGCATTTCTTACAGACAGTTTTCCATGATCAAAAACTGGTATTTCTCCCAAGTCTTTAACTTGGCCTACAAATACTTCAATGTCTTATATGTTTTCCCTTTTCTATATATTTCACGAAGTGTTCATATGTCAAATTTTCTTGTCTAAGGGCCTCAGATCTGAGGACTGGGTAACTTTACAAAGAAAGAAGGAAAAAAAATAAAGGAAGACAAAGAAATAGAGGTCAAAAGTGAAATATTAAGATTGACATTTTATTTTTTTGTTTTCCTTCCACACTAAAAAATAAACTATGGTCACACTGTAAAAGGAAAAGTATGTTAATATTCTATCAGTGCTGAATAAAATTGAAAGGTTCTCTGCTCTTTACAGATGAAATTATATAGCGCCAAGGAACAAGCCAACACATAAGAAATTTGAAAAAGAAGAATCTGGAGGAAATTTAAAGAAGGCAAGACAATGGTGCTTTTGTGGGAATTATGCAGTTAGCATTTTCTGAGAACAATTTATAGAGTAATCATTTTATTATTATCTGGATTTCCCATTTCCTTGACACTGAGTGGCAGTATATATACATACATATGTAACAACACATACATATAAATGATGCAGACACACACCACCATTTCTAGTCATAGCAAGTTCAATGCTTTATCATGAAGAGAGATAAGTGTTGGGGGAAAAAAAAAAGAGCTCAAGCACTACGCAATTCAAATTCAAAACAGGGCCAAAGGAACTTTGGTCTTGATCATATTTATTTAGGCCACCAGGTAGTACAGTAGATAGAGGACCTGGTGTCAAGTAGACCTCATTTCCAATATAGCCTCAGACACCGACTGGCTTTGTGACTAAACAACTCACTTTACCTCTGCCTACCTCAGTTACCTGATCTATAAAAGGGGGGTAATAAAAGCAGTTACCTCCCAGGGTTTATTGTGAAGATAAAATGAGCTAATATTTTATAGGGTTCTTAGCAAATCTTAAAAGCACTATATAAATGATAGCTATTATTATTTTTGTTACTACTTTCTCTCATTGCTTTTATCATGTGCAGTCATGGTAGATGCTACCCAATAAATCCATGATTCCATCTCTACCTTCCTGAAGAATTCAGGTGTTGGCATAAGTACCCCAACTCACCTCACAGCATAAGTGGCAATCCTCCCATTTCTGATCACATATCCTTTTATTCTGGATATCTCTGTTCTACAAAATACAGTCTTTCCCCTTCCCCTCCCCTCATACTTGTTTATATCATAAGTCTCTTTCATACACTCTATATTTCTCCCCTTCAAAGTAACCTTAGTTTTACTGGGTTGCATCCTTTACACATTAACACATATTTTATTAGCTGCAAATACACAATACTAACACCAGAGACAATTCAACAATTTAACACATTTATAAAAAACACTGAAAGTACCTGGACATAGGCTCTGCAAGAGCGCTCTCTTTTCTGAAGCTGATTCCATAAAGACAGCAGGTTAAACACAGAATAGAAAAAATAAGTTAGTGATAGAAGAAACCAAGAAAAATTTAAAAAGAACACATCTACACAAAATTTATTTGTGAACTACTTTCTAGAAGAGGATGACAGCTAAGCAGCAGCGAAATATAGCAATGATTTAGCAAATGGTGGCCAAGAACCCTTTCAAAATGATTCAAGCTGAAAACTAGATAGTGTCAAGCTATTAGCTATGTCAAGAAATCTTGCAACATATTAGTGGGACTTAGTAAAATAAGTGCTTGTTATTAGATTGAAGTTACACATTTCATATTAGAGTTAGTTATGAATGACAGAGAACAAAAGACAAAGTAAAACAATTTATGTCAAATGTTTGGAGCCCATTTCTCAGATATCCTATGAAATATGTATAAACAACGTGCATCCTAGACTATGTTCTCATATATATACCCCATTCTGCATTAAACTACATATTTTCTGTGTGCGACAAATGAAAATTTGACAGATGGATATTTGGTTATGACAATGTCATCATGAGGACAAATACGAAGGGACAAGCTATTTCAGGTTAAAAGACTTGTGATTTCTTGATCTGACACTGAATTTATCATCAATCCTTTTAATCCCTCCACCCAGAAAACAGGATTAGACATGATTTTATAAATTTTGTTTGATAAGAAGCATATTTTGGGCATAGAGATGTATATTTTTCTGGACAGATCAAAAGTAACTCTTTTTGCATTCAATAAACTTTTAAATGATACAATAAAAACATAAGGGATGCTATTTAACCTAGCAAAATAATAGGGCAAAAATCTTTGTAAGCTACTTCTTTCCTCATCTACCCTTACATCTCCAATCCCTAAGAAGCCCAGATTATTGAAGGAGGAAATCATCAGGCTTTCAGAAACAGCTACTCTGATGGCCTTTTGTGTTCTAAACACTTCTTCCCACTTTAATTCATGCATTCTTAACTGTTCATAGAGCATTTGCTCCTCTAAAGAATGAGTGCAAGTAAATTATGGGGGCTGTCATTTGGATCAGTGACTCGAATCACTATTTTGCAGTGCTTCTTCCCTCCAAACAGTCAAGAATTTCAATGCCGAATGCAATTGATTTGCACCAAGTTGACTTTGCAAACCTAATAGGATACAACTGCTTAAGGAAGCGGTGAAGACCACAAGAAATGAGAACAAGCCAGCAAGCATGTGAACAACCTCCCGGACCCCAACAGTTTAGTTCATCATGCAAATTAATGTATGACAAACCACATCATACAACTGAAAGGAGCCAAATGGAAAATAAAAAGAGCATTAAAAAAAAGCTTCACAAATGAATATTTGCCTGTTATGTCGTTATTTGATATTCAGAATAGGAAAGCTGATTAGCTGGAGCCAGTTAGAATGTGACATTAATTGCCAGCTTTACCTGATATTGTCAGACATCAACATCATTTTAAATAAAGATATACAGTATTGCCATAACAAGTCATGTTATGGATATGTAATATTAATACGAATGACTAATTCCAATATATTATCATAACAATTGCTGGCAGCAATATTCATTAAATAGCATCAAGTCAGCCTAGGCAACAATACATTAAATTTCCAGCATTCACAGGTTCCACGGATTTCTGTGAATTTATGTACTATTAAGAGAATGGCTATTAAAAACAAAAAAAAAAACAATAAAACAAGCTAAAAACAAAAAAAAATCTTGATGCTCAATAGAGAATAACTTCTGATAATAATCTAAGTCAAAAACTAACAGTATTTGTCTTCAGAGGCTGACTTTTCAACATAAACATTATTTGTCATAAAATTATCTGGCTGATCTGTAGTGAACAATTAATCTTTATTTCTTTCTATCTTGATGAGACCTTTCCTTCAATATGGCACTGAATAATAGTGAGTTGAAGAACCAGTCTGCTTAGCCATTTTTCATTCTAAAGGGGTACATTCGTCTTTGGGAATTCCACAATGGAGACTTAAGTCTGTCATTGCCAATTTCTTGTTTTCCCAAATATCAAGACTGTCATTATCTTTTAGTAACTAAAATTTAGTACAAATAATTTCCCCCCCCCTACTGCCTCATGTGCACCATTCAGTGAACACATGGCATCTGAGGGGAGCAAATCTGACATACTTTCACCAGGAGGACCGTTTATTCACCTTTTGAGATTATGTAGTTCCAATAAATTCCATTTCTTCTTATACTTAACATTTACCTGGCCATTTAAAATATCTTTCCTTACAAATATAATTTGAACACTGTTTTTCAACCTACAAATTTATTCCCATCCACTAGAGAGTGATGATCAAATAATAATGATAGTGTTACTATTAATGCTAGGTATGCTTTTAAAAAATCATGATGTAAAGTCTTCATAAATATTAACTCCAAACAGTATGTGTAGCATACTAAAAACAAAAAATAATTTAAAATTCCTCGTCTCTTAAAAGAAAAAAATCCTTCACAATTAAACTAGGAGATACACACACAAACACATATGCATATATGTGTGTGTATATATGTATGTATGTATGCATAATTTTCAAACCCACATATGCCCTACTTCAAATTGAACTCACTGATTCAGGGTTTATAGAGAGACCATTTTCTTTCTTTGTTGTTCTGTCTTTTATTACTACTTGCCTTTTGATGATCTGGTCCCTTACCTGTCATTTCCATTGCTTATTAGTTTTAATATTAGATGAGGAGGAGAAGCAATTGACTAAAACAAATAGAGGTGCTTAATTCTAAATTACATTCATTCATGTTTACCTTATCCTCCAACATTAGGTAAAAACAAATATAGTTCTATCTCATGAAAAAAGAGACATGTCTTTAAAGTAGTGTGTAATGTGGAAATTAAAGTGAAACTTTTTTTAAACTTTTACTTTTCTGTACTAGAAATTTTAGTGTGTTTTTTTTTGACCAAAAGGAAAAAAAATATATAATCTCTGTAAATCAAATCACTAAATCATGCTGACAGTAGTAAGCATACCCTGACTCCACTGGAAGAAACTATTCATTTATCAAGAGGGAAAGATTCACTTGTTTTTAACTTCACCTCATCCCTCATTCTTCATCTTTACTGCTTACCTTGTTTAAACTACGTGCAGCACTGTCTTTTCCACCAGGAGTCAGATTTCGGAGCTGAACATCCAGCAAGCCTACCAGTTGATCCATTGCACGAACTGAGTAGGTGATATCCCCAGCATTCAACTGATTTCTGGTCTGCTCAGCAAGCTCCCTGGCTATGTTAGCAGCTGTCTCACCAGACTTCAACTACAGTTTTGAAAACAGGAGAAAATGGAAAGATATCTATTACCTTGTCAGAATATGATCCTCTCTAAGGCTTCTTTCAGCAATTTTTTCCAACTAAAGCACGTAAACTATAGATAGAAATAGTTATTCATCAATAGTATATATTTGCTTCTACTTCTATCTGGACTTTGAACTATAAATCAAATGGGGGAAAAGCCCTCAAATTATATGTGTTTGTATATTCCCACATGTGTATGTATGTGTATATGTATATATATATATATATATATATATACACACACACACACACACACACACACACACACACACACACACACGTATTTTTTGGGGGTGGGGGGAGAAGCAGAATATATTTATGATTGCATCCCGATAGGGAAACTTATATTGGGAAAACGCCACCAAATATGAGCTCAACAACTCATCTACATTTTAAGAGTATTAGAAAGTCACCTAGGTCAATGAAAGTTTAAGTGGCTTGTCATCTGCTAGTGTTCTCTCTCTAAGATAATAACTGTTAGTTTGTTGTTGTTATTGTTTTTTTGTTCAGTTTCAGTAGTGTCTGACTCTTTGTGACCCCATTTGAGGTTTTCCTGGCAAAGATACTGAAGTGGTTTGTCATTTCCTTCTCCTAAGGAAACAGTCAAATAGGGTTAAGTAACTTGCCCAGGGTCACATAGCTAGCAAGTATCTGAGACCAGATTTGAACTAAGGCAGATAAGTCTTCCTGACCCCGTGTCCAGAACTGTATTTACTGTGCCACCCAGTTGTCTATAACAATAATATATAGCACTTTAAGTTTTGCGAAGTGCTTTATACATTTTATTTCATTTTGTCCTTACAGCAATCTTGAGAGGTAGGTATGAATTATTATTCCCATTTTACAGATGAGGAAAATGAAGGAAATAGAGATTAAGTGACTTCCCTGAAATCATATATCTAGTATTAATAGAGCTGAAGTGAAAATGTAAGTCTTCTGATCCTTAGTCCAGTATTATTTCCATTAAACTATCCTACCTCTTTATGTGGGCCCTTGGTGCCCTATAGATAAACCAAACTAATCTGACCAAAAATTGTGGAATAACTAGTGTATCACCCTGGTGCTATTCAATGTCAAAAGAACACGAGGAAGTCATTGGACCTCCTGTGGTGGAATGGTGGAATGGCATTGACAAGAGAATGGGAGGCCATAGATAAAATTGGATCTGTATCACCTGAACTAGGACCCATACTGATTATACCATAGATTCATTGAAATATTGGAGCATGAGGTTAGTTAAAATATTTGAAGTCTAGTTTAGACACTGTGAGTTTAGAGGTAGCCAAAGCAGTCAAGTAGTTAAAGTATTCACCATATTTAGAGGTTGCTAAGTATGTTCAATAATTGTCCATATCGGCCTGGTTAAGACAACAAGAACACCTAAATGGAAGATAACTTTGTAGAGTTACACATGAAGTAATGATGTACATTCATAAAATTCAAAGTAAGTGTTGCTTTTATTTCACATATAACTCAAGAATATGAGCACAAGTATTATTTTTTATGATGTCTAAACAGGGAGTTTCATGAAAGGCAAAATAATCTGCAAAACAAAGAAATGTGGAAAACACTACTGGAAATGGTTGCTATTTAATTTTTGTGTATGTATAATTTTGGACTGTTCCCCTGAAGTTATTATAAACAGCTGTCAATTATCATAGTAAGGAAAATGATGAGAGAGGGGGAAAAAAGCTAATAGTAACTCCCTTAACAAAAGTTAAATATAATTGTTTGTTTAAATAGTTATATTAAATAACACAACTGCTTATAAAAATAAAATATCTGTACTAGCAAGACAGGCCTCTTCCATAATGATACAAATGAGGGTTGAAAAGCAGTGTGGCATATTGGATAAGACAGTAATACCGGCCTAGAAGTCAGGAGGACCTGGATTCAAATCTTACCTTAATAGTTGTATGATCTTTCTCCTCCCAAGTACCCCATCATCAGGGTAAAACAGATGCTATACCAGCAGCACCCTCCTCCCAATCTACACCCTTTTGTGATTTCTATTCCTATCTTAGTTCCCATTAATGCCCTTCCACTTCAGCATCCACATCATGGACTCATCAATACCAAAATGTCTGAGAAGTACCTGGTTTTGTAGGTGCTCAAAAATGTTGTTGATGGATTAATGCACTCTCTGCTAAAACTACCTTTCATTAATTTTGTATACATTTTATATATAATTGTTTATGTATATGTCATCTCTGGAGAGATTGTAAACTCCTTGAGGGGAGGGACTTCCATCTTTGTAACATCTGTAATTAGAAACATACCTGACACATAATAACCACTGAATTAAAGATTATAAATTGATTAGAATCTGAAAATACTTCAAAATATTTTAGAAATTCCGTGTTGCCTAATATAAATATACAACACTTGCCCCCAAGGAGTTAGACTGTATTAAATTAGAAGGTACTTGAGATGAAATTAAAGAATTCAGAGTTCTAGACCTTCATCGCTATTATCCCTCCGCACATTGATTATTCTAACTTGTGGAACAGCAATAAGAACAGTGTCTCTGACTATCCAAGAAGAAAATCACAAGGATAATATGAACTAGATATGATATTACACATGAGTTTCTTCAGTGAAAAATACTCTAATACTTAATAATGATTTTTTCTAGCCTTCATCTAATATTAAGAACCAATCATTTTTTTTTAGATCAACAGTAAAAAGGAGAAAACACTAAACTTAAAAATGAAATACTGATGTCCAGGTGATTTTTTTTAATGGCCCTGTAAATAAACAGGACTCAAATTTTGCTTAGCCTTGAGGCCAGCGACTGAATGCAGCAAACTAATAGGGCTGGACTAAATGATATACGGTCTCTTCTAATGCTAACATTCCAAAAAATCTATGAGGCAGAAAAAAACAAGCAACAAACATGTCACTTTCTGTTCATACTTCAGTTCTTAAGAATGAATGCTAGCTTAAGTCACGGGTTCTGCTTTGATTAGAGGCATTCTTGTATCAAAGTGATGACTGAATTCAGTTCCCTTGTTTTGGATGTTAGATTTGTGAGGCACACACATAAAAAAGATGTAGATAATAAAAACACCTATATATAAATCTTTCAACCAAAAGAGTCCACTGAAGACCTTATTTCTAACTTCAATTACTCAAATCTGTTAAAATTATTTCTAAGAAAATAAAGCATAAGCATTGAAAAAATGTAGGGTTTTGTGTAGATTAGCAAATCACTGCCTAGTTTAAATAGTGGTGTTATAACTAGGCCTTGAATAAATAATCTTTTCAAAATAGAGGTAAAGCCATAAGCTTTAGTTAAGCATACTAATTATGACAGAGATTGATATTATTTACATATTTAAGCCCTGACAGAAGCCAAAAACAATTTTCTTTGAAATAAGCTTTGACATTTCATGACATTTATTATATAAAAATCCTAATCTGGGTGCCAAAAGAATTCATTAAGGAGTTATTCAAAGTACTTAAGTACAGCACTGCCATTTCCTTGAAAGAATACATCTATTTTGCCATCAATCTCAGCCCAAGTTATTAAATCAACAGCAAAATGCCTTTGTCTCACAGTTGGGAGGGGCTTAAATGATTCTGGTGTCGTTCCCTAGAACCACACAGAACATAGAAAATGTTTCTTTTGGAAAGCTTTACTTGATGGCACCAGATTGCTCTTTCATTCATCTGAACTCTCATAACACTTTGTGCCTCTCTTGTGAACTTTGCACAGTGCACTATAACTATCCTTCCTATTATATTTTAAATTTTATGTCAAGGACCCTATCTTACTTATTTTTCTACCTCCCTCAGCATGTAGTACAGTGTTATGTTCATAATATATATTCAATAAGTGGATGCTAGATTGAAAGCTAGTCATTTCCCCAAACAGGCAAATTTAAGGACAGAGTTCATTCTGTAGCTGCAGGTCACATACTTCCCTCCATTTCTTAACCTGCAATACCCTTTGCACCTCTTGTCTTACTTTCTCAAAAAATCCAGAAATGATAGCATTATTTCAAAATTCATAAGCATCACATATGGCACAGAAGGAAAGGAGGTCATATATTTGTTGTTCTACTAAAGACAGAATGGATACATCTTTTTTTAAATAGATAATTCAAGTGTATTCTTTCTCTGAATTCAAGGAATGGACCAGAAAAAAACATTTTGTGGATGCTTGGAATTTTAAATGGATACCCTGACCCTACATATAAATGGACTCAGAAGCTGAACAAATGGACTAATCTGAAGGGCAGCTTACATCCAAATGTCCTCATTTAAAAGTCCCCACCCTTAGATATCAATAAGTTAGACAATAATGGTAAGGGTGATATTTGTACAAGGCCACTTGAACGCAAATCATTAAATGAAGTAAGAAGTTTCAACAGGGAGATGGCATGAAGGCAAAAGGAAGCCTACAGTAGGTTTTTGTGGTGGTGGTACGCCACAAGAAAATGGGGGAAAGGAGAAAGAAGGAGGATGGCCAAGACAAATTTGAAGGGGCTGTCACTGTCTAAAATCTCATTCTTTTAACCAGCACAAAAATAACAAACAGAAATTATCATCTATATTTATGTTCATATTGGTACCCATAGGTTAGGTCCCCCACGTACCAGTCAAAAGTTTCAGCTCAATTCAGCTGCTATTCCCTAAATGTGTACCTGACTCAAATTTTCATTTCAACATGACAAGTCTGATAATACTTCATGGACAAAGTAGTTATGTCATAAGTGAACCAGAAGGACAGGACTGGGCCAGTCACAGAGTACTGATTGGTTGTCCTGCCTTCAAGGAAGCCATGGTCACATCAGAGGGATGGGGGAGAGGGGTTGGATTTACACTAAAAAAAAAAAAATAGAGAACAATTAACGACAGAATAACTGAACACAAAAAATATGTGAACTTGGACTTGTCTTTTCCCTTTTCATCCTTGATTTCTCATTTGTCAAATGAGATAATTGGACTACTTGATCTAAAGTTCCTGAAATTTCTAAAATTCTATTTTTTTTTAATAACTAAGCATATCGACAGGAATGATTTACTGAGAAATTTGCTACATTTAAAAGTCATTAACTCATTATGAATTTCGGATTTGTGAATCTGACAGATTCTTGATTCAGATTAGGTAAAAATCCATATTAAAAGCTCCTTAGAATAAAAAAAAACATTGATAGGGAAGAAATTGATAAGCCTAAAGGACTCAAGAAAACCAGGTGTGTTTATGGAACAAACAAAACTGTCAATTAAAAGGGCAGTGGATGTTTTATTCCCCCCATCCCTTTGGAGAATATTCTTTTTCATTGCAGATAACACTTTTTCTTTATGGGATAACACACAAAAATAGCGAGGGAAAAAATAAGGCAGCATTATTTATTATATGGCAATATAGTACAACAACTTTTGCACAGCAATTTGAAAAAAAAAAAGGCATTAATTTAGAGTCGGAGCATCTGGGCTTCAATCCTAACTCTACTATTTAATCCCAGTACCACCTCAGATAAGGCACTGTGCCTAGCTGGGCCTTAAATTCCACCTCTGTGAAATAACATCATTGTTGGTCTCTGAAGCTCCATTCTGCTCAATGGTCCTATGATCCTTTTCTTTCCTTAGTTGGAAAAGTATAAGTACTTTCTTTTTCTTTCTAGAAGTCTATTTTCAGGAAGCAGCATGAAAGCACCCAGTTTTCTAGGTGAATGATGACTGAAATCATATTAACCCCTAGGCTAAGCATGTGGGTAGTTTTAAAAAATGCAAAGCTGCTAATGGTACCAGATATGCTACTGATCTATTAATCTGATCACATCCTTCAAGAATTATTCACCCTGGGGTCTGAGCTACACTGTAATGAAATCAAAGGACAATCTGTGTGGCAGGATCAGTGTTGAAATTGGGCTAGAGTTATAGCCAGACTGCCAGCTTTGAATAGTAACAGGTATCATGACTGTTACATATCAATATATATAAAAGAGTAACTACAGTCCCCACCATTACTCCTTGTTTGTGATTTAGGGTAAAGAGACAGTTATGGTTCATTTGCTACATGATCTACTGGGGTATTTACTGATTATCGTACAGTATATCAGTGAGGACGAGAGTAGTTAAAAACTAATAGAGAAGAGAGCAAATGGCAAGTCTGTGTTTCTTGTAAGGCTATCATTTGTAATATTTCTTTTGGAAAAAATATCTTTCTGAAATTCTATAGCATAGCTAATGTTCCATAGAAGGACTCCTGATATTAGGAGTGAATAAAGGCATATAAATTGCTATAATAAGGATGCATCCCACAGCAATTTTGGCATAAATGCACATCTGGTCTCTGTTTGTTATGAAATCAACACAAAGCCCCATAGTGCATTAATAATAAAAATGTTCAATATATTGCAACCAAATAAGCCCTGTTAAATTGAGTCTGCAAAAGTTTATCGCCACACATTAATATACTTTCAACACTGATAAATTAGGTTCTAAAGAACATTGATCAAATGACAGAATTTCAAAAGCGGAACTATTTTTTGAAAAATCCCACTATCTATCCAAGGTACATGTACTGAAGCTTTTTTTTTCTTAAAGCTTGAAAATGTCTCTTGAAATTTTCCACTTGCAGTTCTCAATGCTACAGAAGGCATATTGTTGTCATTGCTATTAACTCCTAGATCCAACATGAAATCCTCTGACTTTTAAAGCCCATCATAACCTGGCCCCTTCCTGCCGTCTCAGTTTTTTTATACCTTATGGCCTTTACATGTTTTACAAACTCTGGCTTTCTTACTGATCCCTGAACAAAACATTTCATCTCCAGGTCTTCCTTAATGCTAATGTCTCCTCTTTGAGATTATCTCCAAATTATTCTGTATATATCCTGTTTGTACATAGTTTATATGGTGTCTTCTCCATTAGATTGTGAGCTCCTTGAGAGCAGAACTAATTCTTTTTTTTTATCTCCAGAGCTGACCACAGTGCCCGACAAATAGTAGGTCCTTAGTGAATACTTGTTGATATGTTATTCATAATCATTGATTATGATAAATAACATTATTGAAGTTACAAGGTTAGAGTATGAACAGGCAGCATCATATACTTTAAAGAGAACAGGTTATCGAAAAAAAAAAGTGTTACACAACCTCTTAGTAGGCCATTAATTACTGAGGACCTCCCTCTCCCATACCCCAATACAGCAAAATTGTATGTGCAATTAGATAGGGAAATAGGAAGGAAATTACTTTGATATTTTTTTAAGTTCCTTGATTTTTTTTAGCATTTGTAATTCACAATGATGCATCAGAGTTAGCAAAGGAATGATTACTTGTAGTACAATGGTAGGAGTTACCTTCTGTGTTATGTGATTGACCCAAGTAGAAGAACAGTTGCTGAGATCTGGTCCTTGAGGATCCCAAATTCCATCAGGGGCCAAACAGAGGAAGGTAGACACACCTATGACAGTAACAGAAATACGGATTTATACTTCCTTTTTCATTATGTACTCAAAATGTTACTTTTGAATTTTGAATCTCACTTCACTGAATGTTTAAATTAGAGCCAAAAGAACATCAGTCACATTTTGAACATAAGATTTCTTCCCACTTTTAGAAAGGGATATAATATAGAAAGGAAAATTATTTTCTGAAAATTTCCACAAGTTGAACACTATTATACATTTAATTTTAGAAGAAAACAAAATAGCTTTGTTCTACTGTCACATCTCAGAATCACGGAATTCCAAAGTGAAGTGAGTTTAAGGGTCATCTAAGTCTAATCCTCCATCTGATTCACAAATCCTATCAACATGCTCCTGGAAAAATGGTCACTGAGTTTCTGCTTGAACATTTTTAATGACAGGGAAGTCATTATCTAATGAGACATCACATTTCATTCTCCAAAGGCCTTGGGTAGATTCTTCCCTGTACTGAATGAAAATATTGTGCCCTATAAATTATCCAAAGGTGGTGTGTCCACTATACTAACATTTTGCATTTAGGACTTAACAATATGTTGAGTAGACCGTGCAGGCTGTTCAGCTAATAAACAGTCTTTGTTCCCAGTCCATTTCCTTTTCCAAGTACATATAATGGGTGATATTTTTTACACTGTTTCTTGCCTATGATCAATCATTAGAAATAACTTGCAGCATATTTAATACACCAAACATCTCTTTATTGTACTTTTTCGTAAACAGAAATCTTGGGTAATAGATGAGTAGCAATCATAATTGATTTTTTACAAAGGCTTTTGCTTTAAAGAAGAACTTTGATTCATTGAAAGCATGCCATTAATTTCACAAATACAATGTTTCCTGTTCTCTTCCTTCTTTCACTTCTGGACCCAATTCATTTTTCAACTACAGTATCTGTCTAAGATACTTGTGACCACCTCAGTGGACTGTCTCCTCTAAAGAACAGATACTCTTCATTCACTTGGATTTTCCTATATGGATCCTTAGTTCAAATTATTTTGAATCCTAGCTAATCTCATTTAGGAGACTTTAGGTTTCTAGGGCTTGGTCAGTCAGCACAAATTCATCTACAAAATAAAGATGCTGTAGAATCTAATCATCTTTAAGGAATTTTTCCCTTTGGACTTTTTTAGCAGGTTTTCATTTCAATGAACATTTATTAAGCTCTTGCTATAAACAAAGCACTATATTAGGGAGCATATATTGCAAGGAATAGGGGTAGGTGGGGGTATGTGTAAGTAAATACAAAGTACATGCATGAAGGCAAATAAGCAAATACCAAACATACAAAAATGAAAACAAATTCAAAATAATATCAAAAGTTATAGAATATTAGCAACTGGAGGTAGGGATAAGGAAAGGGGTCACGTTAAGTAGTAACAGTGAGCTGTTCTTTAAAGGAAGTTTCAGATTTTATGGAGAAGGGAATGACAGTGGCAAAGACCCTTGGCAAGGGTATGTATGCTTGTTTTGTGCTTCACTTTATAATTAAATGATGGATGAACAAAATAATTTCTGTTGTTCTATCAAGGTATCTTGTGTGCTTTAAACATAATTATTATAATCACTATAATAAAGATAATAATAACTTGCATGCATACTGTGTTTTAAGATTTTCATGCACTTTACATATATTACCTTATTGGTGTTCACAGCAATTGTATGAGATTGGAATTATCATAATCTCTGTTGTCTCAGCACTGAATCCAAGAGAGGTTAAGTGGCTTACTCAAGGTCACATAGCTAATAAGTGTCTGAAGTTGGGTTGGAACTAGGTCTTTCTGAATCTAAGTTGAGCACTTTTTTCACTCTACCTCTCTATCCCATATGAATAGGAGATACATTATAGGATGATTGTATTCTTTCCTTTTTTTGTAGTCAAAAACATCACAAATTAATCAACGTTCTTTGGCTACAGTTGTCCAAACACTTTTGATGTAAATGAGTGAAGAAATCATTTATCCATTTATTCTTTTAACAATCATTTACTAACATATGCAAATTACCATGCTAGGCACCAGGAAAAGCACAAAGATAATCAGGATCCCTCCCTTTAATTAGACCATCATCTAGCCCACATATTTCCATTTTTTTTCAAGGATATCTTAGATTTTGTCAAATGCTTTTCTAATATATAGATACTTTATATCAACAGCATTTCTTTGACCTACCAGTATAATGATGATAATAAAGAGGAGGAGGATAGAACCCTTTACAACACTATAGTTTAGGAAGCATCTTTTACTGTATCAAAAATCTCATGGAATTAAGTATAAAACAAATCCAGGACAGAGCTTATCCAGGCAATTTCAGTTACAAGAAATATCATAAAGACCTGCCTATATTATGGTTTCATTTCTATCATATGGGGATACAAACCCAAGTAAGGACAGTGGTATACTGCCATTCCAACATTTCATTAATTTCTAATTGATTACATAATATAGCTTGTGAAATTATGCAAATCAAATACAGTGGATCAAATACAAAGTTCACCAGGGTCCAGCTACATTGCAATAAAGTTAGAACACTTCTTGTTTAAAAAAAAATTTAAATCACAGTGCATGGATCCCCTAAGTAATATTATGAATCACACAAATAAAAGCTGGGAAAAATACTTTAATTCTTATCTATCCCTTGACACATGTTAGTCCTCTGTAGGGCTTTTTCTCAATAATTTTCACAGTTTACTCGAAAGCTTTAAATAAGTCCAATGTGGGTTGAAACTAGATGTAAAATGTCTTGCAATGTTTTGTCCAAGTTTGTCATTCTTATTCCCTAACCTATTTATTCACAGCACCTCATGCTAAGCAAATTCTAATCTTTGGCATTTTGGACAAGATTGTATGGCTTAGTCAGGATACTGTGTTAAGCTTAATTTATCGGACTTAATAATTAATCAACTATCCTTTGAAAATACTCTGACTATATGCATTACTGAGCAAGCCTAAGGGAGAATATTTGACAACTGAGCTGAAGTGAGAGAATGTGAGGCCCTTAGCTTAGGTCTTTCGAAAGGACTCACCTACTGTCCCCGCAGGGCATGGCTGCTTTGCCATCTGTCCTTGACGGGTTTTAAACCACATGATTTCCCGAGCTTCCACAGCATCACAGCTCTCTTCCAGAGCTGGGAGCTGAGAGGAAGCAGGTGGAAGGTGGGTGGTGATTTCATCTGGTGCTGCTGCTGCTGGGGATGGGGTACTGGTGCTTCTGTTCCTTCTCCCTGGCACTGATGTGGTGGTACTCCTTCCTGGGCTTCCTGTGGTGATCCTCAAGGTTGTACTGGTGGTGGTGGTAGTGCTTCCCAAGCCAAGTGGCCCTGTGGTGGAGATTTCTAAAAGAAAAAAAGAAAGGCAACAAATTCAGTGATTGTTCTGTGACCTTCAGACTTCCCAACCCCCCCCATATTGGAAATCTTGCATATTTTAATAGCCCAATTAGCTTTGTATAAAATTAGTGAAAACCCATAGAAAGGCATCAATTTAAGCACTAAACAAGAATGTGGTCATGCCACATACTATACTGGGCTTTCAGAGTTACCAAAGTTGATTGAAACTGCTTTTAAAGAATAAATTCTCAGTACAACACAAAGAATACTTTAAAAACAACCATAACAAAAACCAACAAAAACCAACAAAAACAACAACAATTCAAAAGGCCTACAATAGGCTTTCTTCTGGTCCAATCTTTTCCATATGGCAGTATTAACCTTGAAATTCTAAAGTGATCATCCTTAACCTTGGCATTAAGTAGAGGAATATTGTACATATATTTGAAGTAGATCACTTAGCATTACTCTGAAGGAAATATAGTGAGTTTTCCTAATGCAGAAGGAAAAAAAAGGGGCACCTCAATAAAACTGCTCTGTAAGGTTCAGTATCACAAACATTACATGATAACCCTAAACATCAATTTTTCATACAGATTAAAGAAGCAAAGGCAAAGTACTTCTCCACTTAGCTTGGCAGGATTGACTCATATTAATATGATGCAATTAATAAAGCATAGCAAACATAGTCATGGCTGTATGTGTAATAAAGTATAGGAAATATCCAGCTCAGAAGAGGTTGTGTCCTAAAAGGTTTTTTTTTTTTAATTTAGTTCTTTGGAACTTCAAGTGAGTTAAAATAGAAATAATATTATAAATAATGGTTAAATTACCAGGTCAGTCCATAAATGCTTTTTCCATGAAGTCTTCCAACGAGAAATGTAGTATAGCAGAAAGTACTTAATTAAAGGTAGTAGGTTTAAGTCTACTCTGCCAGTGGCTAGCTAAATGACCTTGAACAAGTCATTGCTCCTCTTTAGGCCTTAGTTTTAATCTGTAAAATGAGGGAGTTGGATTAGGTGATGGGTAAAGTGCCTCTCAGTACCAAATCCTATTCTATAATACCAAACATGTTCTTGCTTGCACTATCTATCTTACACTTTATAGAACCAAATTCACATTTGGTCTAGTAACTTACCTTTAAATTCTCTCTCCTTCCATACATTTTTTTCCCAATCCAATAAATATTTAAGTGCCTATTATCATACTAAGGGCTGGGGATACAATTAATAAAAGAAAGACTACCCCTGCCCCTTTAGGAGCTTATAATCTAAAAGGGAATTCAACACACCAAACGAGATAAGAAAGCTAGGGAGGTGGGAAGAAGGAACACCAGAAGGGGGGATGCCCACAGAGGTACCTTGTTCTGTGGAGTTAAAACCAGGCAAAACAATGGATGCAAAATGGTGAGAGCTGAATCCAGTTTCTGCCCTCTATAAAGGCATTGGGAGGAGTTTGTACTCTGTCCTCCATCCCTCCAATCAGAGGGAAGAAGAAGCTGAGGGAGGAGGCGTCAATCAAGGCCTGAGTTAGCAGCCTAGTGGTGAGTTTAGAAGTGATGAGCTTATCCGGGGAGGGACTTCTTGCTCTGTGGAGCTGACACCAGATAGGGCAGCAGGTGCCCTTCCATACATTTTTTACAGCTCTTTGTTTATAGCATTCATAGGATTCTAAAGGTGTAAGGAACCTTAGAAATCACCCAGTCCAAGGTCCAGCTCTTTCATTTTACAGATTAGTTAACTGAGACCCAGAGAGGTTAAATTACTTGGCCAAGATCACTTAATCCTAAATAGAAAAGCTGTGATTCAAACCCATCATCTTACTCCAAATCCTGGGCTCTTTCTAGTACACCAAGCTGCAACTCCTTAATATTTACCACCTACTGCCTCATAATTACTTGTTTACACAGCTCCCCCTCCCAATTAGGCAATTAGATCTCACTGTGAATAGTGTGCTGTGCTGGGCTGGGCTTGGAGGCAGGAAGACCTGAGTTCAAACACAGCCTCACATATTAGCTGCGTGACCCTGGCCAAGTCACATAAGCGCTATTTGCCTCAGTTTCCTCAACTGTAAAATAGGAATATTAACAGCACCTACCCCACAGGGTTGTTGTGAGGATCAAATGAGATATTTGTAAAGCATTGGCACATAGTAGATGCCATATATTTATTCTTTTCCTCTGAATTAGAATGCAAATCTTTTGAGGATAGCCAACTTGTCTTATGGAACTCTGTACCTCTCAGTGTTCTATGCAATTTTCTAAGGCTACAAGTTGCAGGGAAGATGTGAATGTGTTAGTAGGAGGAGTTTCATCATCTGGGAATCACAGGCCTGGTCTGTATCTGTACTCTGAGAAAACGGAACAGTAGCTGCTTAATATAGTTTTACTGAATTTAATTGAAGTACAGTACTACAATAATTGGTCTTAACCATCATGCAGGATAATATTCCCATGAAAAATAAGTTGAATTCTAATTTGCTATATCAAGCACCTCAGAATCAGAAACTCTCCCTCCCCCTAGCCACCTGTTGAGTCAGGGACATTTGTAGGAGGCAACACGGTGTTGCGGAGAGACAGATTTTTTCAGAACCAGGAAGACCTGGGTTCCAGTCCCTCCTGTGACCTGACACAAAACAGCTCTATAACCCAGTGAAGTCTCTTAACTCTTAAAGCTCTGCCTAGGGAACCCTCTTAAGACTACAAGTTGGAGATGAAGTGCTGACCTGAATTGATGGAGAAGTTTCCTCACCTGGGTATTTCCTATAACAAGGAAATCACAGACCCAGTTCCTATGCACTATTAAGTTTTTTTTAATTAAAAAAATTAATTTATAGAATAAAACAAGCATTACCATAACATAGTACAATTAAAAAATAATTGTATATGAAACTGCTAATCTACTATGCACAACTTGCTATTCATTTCAAATATATAACAAAATTCTCATGTAAAATTTTTTTTCTTCCCTCCTCCCACCCCCACCCTTGAGATGGCTACTATTAGACACAAATAGGTACACACACACACACACACATATATATGCATATGTGTGTGTGTATGTGTGTATGCATATATACATAAAATTATTCTATACATACTTCTGTTTATCAGTTCTTTCTCTGGAAGCAGATAGTGTCTTTCTTCATATGTCCTTTTTAGTTAATTTGGGTACTTATTAATAGTCAAAATAACTTATTCAAAGTCATCCTTAAAACAATATTGCTATTACTGTATACAATGTTCTCTTAGTTCTGCTCATCATTTCACTCTTCATTATTTTGTTTTTCAATGTTTTTTTTTTCTAAAATCACCTAGCTCCTCATTTCTTATAGCACAGTAGTATTCCATCACAATCATATATCACAACTTGTTCAGCCATTCCTGAGTTGTTGGGCATCCCTGCAATTTCCAGTTCTTTGCCACCACAAAGAGAGCTGCTATAAACATTTTAAAATGCCGAGGTTCTTTTCCTTTTAACTTGATCATCTTTGAAAATAGGCCAAGTAATGGTATTGCTGGGTCAAAGGTATAGGTAGTTTAATAACTCTTTGGCCATAATTCCAGATTGTTCTCCAAAATGGTGGTATCAGTTCATAACTCCACCAATAAGGAGTGTGTATCAATTTTTTCCCATTCCCTCCAACATTTGTCACTTTCCTCTTCTACAATTTTAGCCAAAGTAATTGGTGTAAAATATCTCAAGGTTGTGTTAAGGTGCATTTCTATAGTCAAAAATGATTTTGATTTCTTCATCAAAAAGTACCTGTCAACATCCTTTGACCATTTATCAATTAGGGAATGACCCATATTTTTATAGATTTGACAAAGTTCTTTATAACTTTGAATATGTTACCTTTATCTGAGAGTGTCTATAATCCCCTCCCCCATTCTCTGTTTTCCTTCTGATCTTGGTTACATTTGTTTTATTTGTGCAAAACCTTTCTAATTCAATGTAATCAGAATTATCCATTTTATGCCTAACTTGGCTCTCTATCTCTTGTTTATTCATAAATTGTCTACCTATCCATAAGTCTAAGTAATATGTTCTATGTTCTAATTTTCTTATAAAAATCTCTCTTTATATCACTATTAAGTTTTAAGGTTCACAGCCTCTGATTATTAGACATCCTTTTTGCTATGGATCCCTGTAACATATTTTCTTTCCTTCTAAGGACCTCAAGGAATTGCCTAACTGCTTCTTGGTTTACGTCTTCCAACTAGGGCTTTTCCCTATTCTCATGACCTCTCTCTAATATTCCTTTTCACAAAAGGTAGGCTAAGGTATTTATTGTTAGCAACAATGAGATTGTGTGGAAGTGAAAGGTTTAAAAAATAAAAAGTTCCTCCTCTCACTCTTGTCTTTTTTCCACTTAGGAAGGTACCCTAAGGTAATGGATTGTCTGTAGACCAACCCAGGTGACAATCTGCTTGCTACATTTCAGAGCAACAACCTGGCTCAGTGATTGTTCTGAGTGATTTCATAAGGCACGCCAGACTTCTGGACCAGGTGTAAGGGATAAAGGGAATGAATGGATTAAAACAAAATAAAACAAAGCAAAAACCAAAAAAACCCAACATTCTCCTCTTCGACAACGTTTATCACCTGTCTGAGTTTTTATCCTGCACCTAAACTGATGTGAGAAACAATTATTTCTCTCTGGCATTAATAACTAATCATTGTAACAGGACCAAGGTTTTTCTCCTTTTCTACTTCCTCATTCAGAAAGCAACCAGTGTGGGAAATCTTAGGCAGAGATTTAGCAAGGCCGAGATCTAATCCAGGGCTGGGGAACCTGTGGTCTGGAGGACTCATGTGGCCTTCTAGGTTCTTGGTTGTGGCTTTTTGACTGAATCCAAGTTTTACAGAACAAATCCTTTTATTAAGGGGATTTGTTCTGTGAAGTTTGGATTCATTAGAATTATTTGATTAGATTTTATTATCTAATTATTAGATTAGAATTATTCTAACCAGAAAGAAAAATAAATTTTAAGTTTGGGCTAATGG